ATTCTGCTTCCTTTGTGGGTTTGCTCCTGTAAATACCTGAATTTTCTTCCATGTGGTGGTATAAACGTTCCTAGGACTGGTTGTAATTTAGATTTTTGTAGGAACAGCAACACTGTTGGCCTCTCCGTGTGTGTTTACATAAAACAGTATGTTCCTTGTTCAAATCTATTGCACAGGACAAAGGTAGACCCAGAACCAGCGACAGAAATGTCAGCCCGCTGCAAAGAGGACAGTCACTAATCAGGGTTCAGGAAATTGGAGTTCTGCTTCTTTGGATATACTGAGGCAGCCCCATCCTCCTTTCTCTGAACCTCTGTTTCACATGCAAAACTGGATGGTGGGCTGTGTGGCCCACTCAGCTCCCTAACATGCCTTGCTCCACTCTGTGAAAACTGACATGGAGGAAACTGACAGCATGTGATTTTAGAGAAGGGAGGTGGATGGGCGGCTATCAGGTCAAACAAAGAGCCCACTAGGTTTGTTTTGTGGCATCTTAGTGAAAAAAGAGGTGACTGAAAATTGCGTGAAGCAGAGTTGTCCAAACACAGAGGCCTGCAGATTTATCTGGTCCATTCCCTTTGCTTCTGTCTCTGTCTGAAGCCCCTCACCCCCACACACACCCAGGATTTAAGCACCCAGATGTGCAACATACAAAGACATTGATCTCATGAACAATCACCACTGTAATCACTTTCGGCATCCGTCTCCAACCTGGATTTTATATTGTCTGCTGCCAGCAGATTACACCTCACCCCCATGCCTCAGGATGAGAACTCTGATATTCCTTGGCTGCAGATTTAAAAAAATTGGACATGAGACCCTGTCTCAAAACACACCACACACACACACACACACACACACACACACACACACACACACACACACACACACACACACTGATGTTCTGGCTCTAACCTATGTAATTGGCCTGGGGTGGGGTCTGGGCCTTGGGGGCTTTTAAAAGTTCTTCCAAGCATTTCTTCTGTGTGGCCAGAACCAAGCCCCACTGCTGGAGTTCCTGCTGGACTCAGGTAGAAGAAGTGAATTTTTATGATCTATGTTCTATGGGAGATGTGATTGTTGACCCCATTGAACATAGCTAGGCCCAAAGCTGACATGATGAGGACAGTTTGTTTCTGATGTGCCTTTTTCTTAGGACTCAGCCCTCCTGTGGCTGCTCTGGTAAAAGAATCCTAGCCAAGGTGTAAATGGTATATAATCACTTAATGTACTGCCTTAATGTACAGCTGGCATGGACCTTTGGGGTTTAATACAAAGGAATCCCTGATGGAAAGACTCACAGGCTTTATGGCAAGGCCCATGGAAGAGGTATTTAAAGTGGCCCCGAACCTGATCTATCCCTCAGTCCTCATCTCAGTAAATGACAACCCTGGTCTTCCTATGGACTTCTCTCTTTCTCGCTCCCCATATCTAACCCATCAATGTACGATCTTGGTTCAGTCTTTGAAATATGTCCAGAATAGACTCACTTTGATCATTTTCATTCCTGTCATCCTAGCCCATGCCAGCATTACATTTTAAGTGTCTCACTGCAATAACAAATACTGCATTTAGCCACACCTAACTGGTCTTACCATTAACCTCCTATACTCAACTTTCCTCACAGCAGCCAGAGGCATACATATACATCAAACCCCATCTACTTAAAACTCACCAGTAGAATGAAATCCAGAGTTCTCACCATGACTTACAAGGTCCTACATGACTCAGCTTTCAGCTGCCTCTTAGAGCATGTCCCCTCTGGTCCCCATTCCAGAACTGTATTCCAGTTACAGGGATTCCTGTCCACCTCAATCCTATGCCCACCTCAGGGGCTTCACCATTATTTTTGGTCAGCAGCCTGTCTCTCCTGGTCGCCTCATAGCATCTCTGCCTTGTTCCCTTTGGGTCTCTGATAAATGTCCCCTTTGCAAATAGTTCTTCCCTAACTATAAGATGGAAAATACTTCGCCCTCCCCTAGAATGTGTTTATGTATGTGTACATGTGTGTTTGTATCCAATACATATGTCCCCAAAGGAATTGAAACCAATGCCTTGAGGAGATACTCACACCCATGTTCCCCTTAGAATTGTTCACAGTCCTCAAGATATGGAGCCAATCTAAGTGTCTGTAGACAGAGGAAAAGGCAAATAAATTGTGGTACATATATATGACAGACTATTATCCTGATTCTAAAGGAAGGATACTGTCTGAAGGCCCTGGGTGCAGTCTTTCCACATTGCAAGGGGAATCAAAAGCGAATTCTGTCATTTGTTACGTGGATGAACCTGGAGGACATTGTGTTACATGAACTAAGCCAGGCACAGAAAAACAAAGACCTTGTGATCTCATTGATACATGAAATCCAAAAATAGGAGAGTCACAGACGCAGAGTAGAACAGTGGTAACCAAGAGCTGGGAGCAAGAGGGGGAGGATGGGGAGATGCTGTTCAGAGTCCCAAGTGGCAGGTAGAATACATTGGTTTAGATCTAGTGCAGAGTTAAGAATAACACAATTGCAGGTTTCAAAACTGCTAAAATAGCAATCAATCCTACTATGCCCGCCCTTGCCATTCTCTTGTGTAGTCCTTTATGCCCTGCTTTATTTTTTTCTTACCGTAGCCACCCCTTAGCTGCAAGGCTATTCCAAGTCCCCAAGTGGATGTCTGTAACATGCACAGAATTGAACCATATATATATTGACTTTTCATATAAAGAGAGAATAAGGTTTGATTTACAAATTAGGCATAGTAAGAGGTTAACAACAATAACATTATGAAACAAAACAATTAAGAGAGAGGTGTGGCACATGCCTTTAATCCCAGCACTCAGAATGCAGAGGCAGACTGATCTCTGCCTTCAAGGCCAGCCTGGTCTACAGGGCTAGCTCCAGAACAGCCAGGGCTACACAAAGAAACTGTCCCAAAAAACAGGGCGGGGGAGAAAGAAAGATAGAGAACAATTATAACAATAACAAAATTTATTTTAAATGTGTTAATTGTTTCTGGAATTTCCCATGTTATATTTTTGAACTGAAGTTAATAATCAGTCACTATAATCACAGATGAAACTGAAAGCTGGGTATGATGGCACATGCCTATAATCCCAGAACTTGTATAGTGGGGTTAGGAGGACCAGAAGTCCAAGGTCATCCTTGACTACATAGTGAGTTCAAGGCCTGTCTGGCTGCCATGACACCCTGTATCAAAAGAAAAAAAAAGAACAAAACATAAAATTGCAGAAAGAAGAACTACTGTAGTTATGTGCTACATAAAATATATTTATTAGCCAGACATAGTGCTACACATTTGTAATCCTAGCACTTAGGAGGCAAAGACGAGAGCATCACAAGTTCAAAGCCAGCCTGGAATATATATAGTGAGCCCTATCTCTAAAAAAAAAAAAAAAAAAGGGCCGGGCGGTGGTGGCGCACGCCTTTAATCCCAGCACTCGGGAGGCAGAGCCAGGCGGATCTCTGTGAGTTCGAGGCTAGCCTGGACTACCAAGTGAGTTCCAGGAAAGGCGCAAAGCTACACAGAGAAACCCTGTCTCGAAAAACCAAAAAAAAAAAAAAAAAAGGTTTTTTTAATTGTCTCTTTGTCCCTGGTAGAATAGGCACACCATAAGACCATAAGGCCGTGGAATTAGGTCAGTCTTACTTACTCCTGTATCCCTCATCATCTAGAACATTGACAGGCAAATGATAGCTGCCCTTTAATTAATCAAATGAATAAATAAATACCCCTAAAGACATGAGAATGTCCTTCAGCATGACTCTTGCATTTCCTGATTGCTAGACCGCCTGCAGCTCAGCAGAAGACTAGAATCTGAAGAACACCTCCCTTGGTCTCCACAGGGGATTGGGTTCAGGACATCCCCATAGATACGTAAATCATGGATACTCAAGTCCTTTATATGTATATATAATGGCATAGTATTTGCATGGAACCTACCTATACCATCCAATATACTTCAAATCATCTCTAGATGACTTGGGGATTCTGAATACACAATAAATGCTATGTAAATAGTTGTTACACTGGATTGTTTAGGGAATGAAGGCAAGAAAAAATGTCTGTATGTGTTCAGTACAGAGGGTTTAGTGGTGGTGGTGGTGTTTCATGTATTTTTAATATGTGCTCGGTTGAGATGCAAGGATGCAAAGCTGTGGGTAAAAAGGGATGACTGTGGTTTACAATGTTTGCTAATCATGCTTCCTGCTGAGTTTTGGGAAAGTTTTCAAGAATAAGAGAGCCTGACTGATTTTTTGGGCATTTCATGCAGAATTGAGTAAACAAAGTGATGCAGCGTTTAGAAGTAGAGAGCCAGGGGCACTGAGCTAAATCGCACATATCTCTCTTCCTGAATAGTTCAGAAAGTGTGGGTGAGTCATTTTGGAGGGCTGGGTTTCTTCTCTCTCAGATCTCAAAAATATTTGTTATAAGTCTCCGTCCTAGGGGCGTATCTATGAGATGAATAAGATTATCTCTGTAAGTCCTCTGGGAAGTATGTATTCACACACAATAGAGTCTACCATTTAAGTTGATCTCATATTAAGAAAACTGAATATGTAAAATTCAATGTATATGATTACTGAAGAATTTTTTTTTGTAAACCTCCTTAGGCTTAGAGCATTCATAATGGGATTCAGTTTATCCAAATTCAATTCATGCCCAGCTTTTACACAACACACCAATCATACAGGGAGACAATTAGCACATTGCCTTATAGCACATTACCTTGCACTTAATAGGTAATCAATACTTCTCTATTGACTCATGGATCATTAAGGCAAAATATCTCTGTACTTGGACATTTTGTTTTTGAGACAATGTCTCACAATTGTAGTCCAGGCTGGTCTCAAACTCATAATGTGCAAGCTCAGCCTCTTGAGTTCTTGGGATTACAGGTGTGTAAAACCACACTTGGTTGTATTGAGACATCTTAACTCTAATATTAAAGGAATGGAGAACTCACCAGCCCTTTGCTCTTTTTTCAGTCCCCCAAATCTGCCTTCATCAGTGCTGCAAAGAAGGCCAAGCTGAGGTCCAATCCTGTGAAGGTCCGATTTTCTGAGCAGGTGGCAGTTGGAGAAACAGATGCAGTAAGTACGGCTTTGGCTTCCCTCCTCTATCCTTGGCCAGAATCAACCTGGCTATTGAGGTCTCAATCAGGGCCTCCTGGCAGTGGATGCCTTTATGAGGGAGTTGGAGCAGAAGGATCCTGATGCTCTGAGTGAGTGGATACTGAGGAGAGAAGAGTGTCTGGCATCCAGAGAGGATAGGGAGGAAGGGAAAACAACATATTGATTCACTCTGGATCTTCATGGTGCTTAGAGAAATTTCTGTCCATAGCACAATAGCGTACACTCAGGGCAAGTGTTCCATAAACATCTTTTGGCTGCTTGACAGAAGCAGAGAGGAAGTGATGGTTTTGTGAAGACCCAGAGAACAAGTGGCTGGTGAAATTGAACTCTCTTGACATTTAAGTGGCCCTGCAATTCCACATCTTGACTGGAGAAAACTGCACTGATGGGTAGCCGCTTACAAGAAATGATACAGACTCTGTTTTTCCTAGACACCAGAAGGGATCCAAAAGGAATACCTGCTCCCTGCCACTGGCTATCTTTCAGTGGGGTGGGGTGGGGATGAGGGGTGGGCAAGTGGTCCAGACTGAGACTATAGCAAATCTTCTGCTGTGTGGTATCATCTCAAAGAGCAGCTAAGGTTGGCCAGTCCATGTCATGCAGCTGCCGATCTAGGGATTCATGGCCAGCCCACAGATTTCTTGCCATTTTGTGGGGTGTGCATGCAGTGAGCCATCTACCCCAGATGTGCATGTGCAAAACGGGTAGGTGGAGAGCAGAAGTCGGTGTGCACAGCAGTCATGAATTCTGGCCCAGAATCCCCCAGAAATCTGCAGGTGTTGGTGATGCCCCAGTGGGAGTAGAGATAGCTGGAGCTAACAGGCACTGGTGTCTTTTGTAGGCAGTGGTGGGATGGGCTGTCAGAAAGCTTGATCACATACGTACTAAGATACAGCTGCAGTTGTGGAGAGACATAACAGCAGTCCCAGAATGAGCAGAGAAATCAGCAGGATGCCGGGCATTTTTGTAGTTTTCAGAGGCAGAGCCACCCGGAAGAAGGGAGAGAGGACACAGGTGTTGTCCATCCTCTATTCCCCGCCTCTCGTCCTCAAACCCAGCCCACACCTTTCTGTATCCCTGTGTGAGGAAGACTGGGAAGCTCAAAGGACAACCAGAAGATGGTTTGTTTAGTTAACACTCAGGATCCATGTCAATCCCAAGAGAAGCGGTTTAAAGAGACATGACGGTTGATGATCAGCGAGGAGAGGGAACAGGATCGATCCCTATTTGACCTATAAGTCAAAGTGAAACGGATTGCAAGGTCCAAGTCACTGATGAGACATTGGTGTCCTGAACTATTGAAAATTCTGAGGACATAAGCTTGAGTTTGCAAAATATGGACAGGTGTATCCTATCCCACCTCAAAATTTCAGTCAAGGCCAGGACACTCAGTGAAGAACTCCTGCCCTCCTCTACCTCTTCTCTCCTTTTCTTCCTTCATCTCCTTTCCATTCTCCAAGTTCCATACCTTGCAGCTAGGCCACAGGCAGAATGAAGAGCTATCTCCAATTCAACCATAATAGCAACCGCCCCAGGGCAGCTAGAACCTATCCAGAGTTGACTTCTCTCTCAGACAGGTACCAAGCTTGGCTTGAGACTCTGTCTAGCGGGGGAAACACATCCGTCTTCCAACCCTCACGGTTGCTGCCCTGTGTGTACCATAGCAGTCTGCTAAGCCCTGGGGAGACCAAGTCCAGGTGACTCCAGGCTGCCCCATCATCCCCTTCCCCTTGTGTTCCAAGGCTTTATTAAGCAGCCAGAACAAAAATAAATCCTGTGGGCGTTCCTTGCCAACTCTATTTTTAAGCAAAATCAATTAAGTAATTATCTAAGTCCAACCCAGTGTGCTAAATAAAACTTGCCACCGCTGAGCGTCATCAGCCTGGGGAGCTGGGCCTTGGGGCCAGGCAGGAGTGGGGCATCTCAGGATCAGAAAGGCCTGGACATCGTCATCACACTTTTCCAAACTGATGTCCATGGCTCTCCTCCTTGGTTTAACCCCATCCAAACTTGCCTCCTGGCTCCCCACCACTGTTTGCCACACCCAAGCTCAGGAGGACTTGCTCACTTGGTACTTTGTCCACAACAGCGACTGGATCTGAGCTGTTCTCCTCTGCCTTCTCTGATAATCTATACCAGCTATCTCATTCAAAACTCAGAATTCAATTAGCCTTACATAGAAGCCTCACCTGCCTTATACCAGTTAGTTTGTTTGAGGTTCATAATGTTCAGACAAGACAGGGGTTGACAACAAGAATGCAAGTTAGACTGACTCTCTCTCTCTCTCTCTCTCTCTCTCTCTCTCTCTCTCTCTCTCTCTCTCCTCGCTCTCTTTGAAACAGAGTCTCACTGTGCATCCCTGACTCTCCTAGAACTCCCTATGTAGACCTGGCTGGCCTCCAACTCACAGAGACCCACCTGCCTCTGCCTCTCGGTTGCTTAGATTAATGATGTGTGCCGCCAGGCCCATCTCGAGGCCTCTAGTTTTGCTTTAGCTCCCTGGGTTCTCAGCAGGAACTGACTATGCAATAAGGCTGCCACTTAGTTAAAGAATCTGGCCATCTATACACTACAAGTACCCATAGAATGGATGCTGCTGGACCCAGGAAATGTGTGCATCCTCTTTGTGAATCTAATCATTCAAGTAAGCACATAGTAAGCATATAGTAAGCGCCTACTGTTCATTCATTTAGCAGTCACTTATTCAACACTAACTATGTGCCAGGCATGCTATTCATTGTTGGCACCACAAAGATGACTAGATGTGGTCTTTGTGCTCTGAGGTTACTGTTTGATTATGACAAATGTTCTTTAAATATTGCTGGACGCTAGGTATGGTGATACATGTCTGTAGTCCTAGTACTCAGAGGGGAAAAAAAAAGAAAAAAAGGAACCAGTCTAGGCTACATAGCCAGTTACTCTGGGCTGTATAACAGGACACTGTCTTGAAAATAAATAAATAAATAAATAGATGATTATTGTGCACGGCAGCACACATTTGTAATCTTAGCACTTTGGAGTTAGAAAAGAGAGAGTTGTGAATTTGAGACCAGCCTGGGCAACATAGGAAGACCCTATCACAAAAAGTGTGTGTGTGTGTGTGTGTGTGTGTGTGTGTGTGTGTGTGTGTGTGTGTGTGTCTGAGAAAGGAGTATGTAAGTTGCTATAGGAAAACACGGGAAGATTAGATCTCATGATATTGGACCAAAGCTTTACAAAACACTTATTTGAGCTTGATTTTGAAGGTTGAATAGGAGCTTGCCAGGGAGAGAAAGAGGAAGGCAGAGAGAATGACCATTATTGAATTGAATTTCTGTTAAGTGAGAAATTCACATTCACCATTTATAAATGAAGCCCTGTGCCCAGAAAACTTCTGCTAAAGAATTATCGGGTGTTCAGACTTGGACTCTGCCAGTGGTCAGAATCAGGATCAGTGAAGCCCACTTTCAAAGAGCTTTTGGGAATGTTTGGGAGTGCTTTTGGTTATCCCAATGATTTGTGTGTGTGTGTGTGTGTGTGTGTGTGTGTGTGTGTGTGTGTGTGTGTGTGTGTGTGCTATGTGCACTTAGTATCTCAGGGAGAGAGACAGAGCCCTGAAGGGGTAAGCCAGTCCCAGAATAATGAATTGTCAGACATGGAGGCCTGAAAGAAGTAAGGCTTCTAGTAATGGTAAGACATGAATACAGAGAGGTAGACAGGGTCCAGGTCAAAAAGGATCTAAAGAACTAGGCATGGTGGCACACACCTTTAAGCCCAGCACTTGGGAAACAGAGGCAGGTGGATCTCTGTGATTTCTGGCCAGCCTGGTCTACTTGATGAGTTACAGACTAGCTGGAGCTACATGGTAAGAACCTATCTCTGAAAGTCAAAGAAACAGAAAAGGGGCCTAAGGAGACAGCAAAGTGGCTCAGCAGTGGAGTGTTCGCCTGGCATGGGCAAGGCTCTAGCCACCATCCAGAGCACCAGAGAATGGCAGAATAAAGGCAAAGATGGGCTTGTGAAGGGCCTGGTGGGAAAAGAAGTATCTGGAGATAAACTGGGGTGTGTGAAGTGGTCCCAAAGAAGACTCTTCATGAGCCGTTCATGCTGTGTATAATGGTCTCTACTGATCCAGTGCTGTGTAATGCTACAGAGCTTCAAACTGCAGTAGAATGCAAATACACCATGATGGAAAAGGAGAAGTGGACTTTGGCTATGGCTCAACATCTTCCTGGGGATTTTGTTCTGATCTGCATGTAGCATTATTGTTGATCTTGTCTTTCCTCTGTCTCTTTGTTCTCATATCCCTTCATCTCCCTACCTCCCTCACCTTCTTCCCTTCCTTTCTACAAACCCTTCTGCCTTCCCCCCTTTCCTGTGTATCCACAGAAAATGATGAAGAAGGAAGCTCTCCTCCTCATCCCCAATGTCCTGAAGGTATTCCTAGAAAACGGGCAGATCAAGTCATTCACATTTGATGGCCGGACCACTGTTAAGGTACACAAGGAGTCTCCTCACCTGGGGCAGCTGTTCATTTGTGTTCTTCTGAGATTGTACACAGTGGCTTCACTGCTGGAACAAGATTGCCTTTGATCTGTGCTCTGGAGTGTGAGGCTGCAAAAATGTATAATCCTCAGATGAGGCTGATAGTAGAAAATTGCATGCCCAGCTGTGTGCTAATTGTTGTAAAAATGTATGTGTGACACACACACACACACACACACACACACACACACACACAAATGCACATCTGCTTGTCAACTACTTTGTGTTCATGCTACACCGGGTCCTTCAGGACTCTTAGGAGCTAAGCAATGTGAAGATCATTGAGCCATTTATAAAGCTAAAGTGATTTATATTGATACAATAACACCTACACAAGTTTACACACAGAAATAAACAAATGTCATCTCTTGGGAGATTAGCTTAGCCATGTCTTGCTTTTTAAATAACAACCAAATCTTAGGCATTGAAGCAAGATTTGAGAAGTCCAGCCACAGCCCTTTGGCTATTCTTTTCACAGGAAGAGCAATTACTGAACTGCGATTCTTAACAGCTCAGCCAGGCGTCCAAAAGTCCTAGTGATTCCTTAGTCCTGAAGAGTAGAAGTGTGATACAGTTTACCCCGAGGTTCACTCTATAGTGGGACAGAAATAGCTATCCCTGACTCTTCGGGACTCTCGCCAGAAGGAGAATGCCAACCCAGGAATGAATGTTCTTATGCAACCAATGCTGCCCAGCAATCTGGGCAGTTATGACACCTGCCCAAGAAACCTACCTGGCCCACAGCTGTCCTGTGGTTCCCATGCAAGGGCCAAGATGACCCTATAAATAAAGAATCCCATCAGGTACAGTGACACAAACCTGTAAACCTAGTACTCAGGAGGCTAAATCAAGAGAATTATAAGTTCAAGGCCAGCCTGGGCTACAAGGGGAGACCCTTTGGGAAAGAAATAGAGGAGAGAGGAAGAACTACCCTCAGCTAGAAAACTCTTATTCAGAGGAATGATCAAGTGTTCAGAATGGCCTTGCCAGTGTTTTTCTACTGGAGTTTACAGATCATTCCCATACTGGTTTAAGGAATGTCTAAGAGTGTTTTGGGGTCATCCCATGTTATGTCATGCTACTGGCATTTAGAATCTCAAAGTCAGAGATGCTAAGCGTCCTCCAGGAGACAGAACAGTCCCTGAATGATTAAATTGTCCTACCCAAAGTTTCTTTGGAAAGCTTAGGCCAAGCTAGGTACCTCTAAGGAGCCTAAGACCCAAGTGTACTCTTAGGAAGTTATGGCATGGTCTTGGCTATGGAGGGTCTTGGGCTATGAAAGATGTTGAGACAGAACTAGGTCACCCCAATGCCAGAATCTTCCTTTGTGTCTCTTCATGGGCTAATATACTCATTGTGGATTTCTCAATACCCTAGAGCACTGACCAACCTCTCTTCCTCTTAGAGGCTCAGAGCACTCCCTACCTCAAATTGCCACTACCATTGTGGCATCCAGGCAGTGCTAAACTTTGACACTCAGTCTCGCTCTGCACTTTAGGAAAGGTGCACGGCTATTCGTTAGATTTTTGACAGGTTTCCAAGCCACTTGTGGCAAAGAGGTACCTGGATAAAGTGACAGTCTGGTATGGCAGCAGTTACACATTTAACACCAGTTGACAATCACTGGCTTGGCTGTCCACAATGTCAATGTAACTTAACTGCAAAGAAAACCAGATCTATCTATGCCAGGGTTCTAGTAACACTCAAGCCTCTGTGACTACATGAATAGCACAAAGAAATCCTCTCAAGTACCCAGCACTTTGCCGTCCTCTGTTCAAATGACTGAGCATCTCACATAGAGGGGATACTTTGGCAGCCCTGTCTGTCAGGGAGCTCTGAACTCCCAAACCTGCTTCCCTCCAGCCTTTGGGGGTTGAGACATGCTGACTTTGCAAATGTATACACTGCAGTGTGTATGCTGAAGCCACAGCAAATAGATGGCAGACGCCTCAAAACTGACATTTGGGCAGCCCCCACCAATATGCTGTCAGACGCCCTAGTATTAAAAGTAGGGCAGCAGAGCAGACGGAGCCCAAAAGTAGTCAGTTCTATGACTGTACTCCAGACACGTGGCATTGTTCCTCTTTGTGGACATATTTTTTCAAGTTGCTAAATTGATCGTCTATAAAAGCTAGCTATGGCCAAAAATGAACATTTTGCCAGTAGCTCAAGTCATTTGATTTAGATTATGAATCCAGAAATAGTACACTTCTTAATCACAGAAATGTAGCTTTGGCTTTTGCTCATCCATAAGAGTTGACAGACAAACCCAAATGGACATTCTGACTTAAGAGAGGTGAGCAGAGAACCAGCACAGTGCCTGAACTCCATAAGCATTCAGGAAATGATTTATCTAATAGAGGGAGAGAGAGAGTAGGAAGAGGGAGGGAGGAAGCGACAGAAGGAGGCAGGAAACATCCATTCACCATATGTCTGACCAGAGGAAATTCAAGGACACACACATTCACCTCCTGAATCTTTGGTGTTCCCCCAGGGCCCAGGCTACTGGGCAACACTCATGAGGCCCTTTACTAGTCCCAGAACTCAGTATCTGGGCCACCACAAAGCCTTTTTCACAGGACTGTTGTGCTTGATTTCCAATATTTTCTCATGTATTCATTACTTTGAGTAACTCAGAGTCAGAAAAGATGCCTCCTCTCAAGGCTCTTTTTCTTCTACAGGATGTGATGGTGACCTTACAGGACCGTCTCTCCCTGAGGTACATTGAGCATTTTGCTCTTGTCCTTGAGTATATTGGGCCAGAACAGAATCACAAATTCCTGATTCTCCAAGACAAGCAGCCTCTGGCTTATGTAAGTCACCCTTTATCCTGGCTTTGTTGCTGTGTATAACCAATGCTAGAGAAGAGCACCCAAAACATTGCTTAACTAGAAAATTCATCATGATGTAGTCAACTAGCTCCCAGAAGTCACAATTCTAACCTGAGGTGGAGTGTGTGTATGCATGTGTATGTCTATATGTATGTGTATATGTGTTCTGTATATATATGTATATGTATATGTGTGTATGTATATATGTGCATATGTGTATGTATATTTATTGTGTATATATGTTTATATGTGTGTATATATGTGTATATGTGTATGTATGCATATGTATGTGTATGTATATGTGTATATGTATGTGCCTATGTGTGTATGTGTTTATGTATGTTGTGTGTGTATGTATGTGTGTGTGTATACTGCTGTGAGTGGAATCAAAGGACTTGTACATCACTATTCCTCTGAGCCACAGCCCAGCCTTAACTGAGGGGCTCACTATCCATCTCTAGAGAACCTTTGACAATGCCCTTTGTGACCTAACAAAGGCATTTGTCTTGGTCTCTATTGGCAACTCTCCTGTTTCCTGGAAACACTGCTTCCTAAGAAAAAATTTGGCCTCTTCGATAAGGACTGTGATACAGAAAGGTCAGAACTAGAATCAAGTAGTAGTTGGGAATGAACTGCGCAGGGTCAAGAATAGGTAGCACATCATCCCCATCATCTTCCAAAGTAGAGGAGGACAAACTATCTCATCCTCCTAGCCACACCATATGGGAAAAGACCATTGAAATCTAAGATTGTTATATTGGATTTCACCCATATTGAACCACCAGGAAACATCAGAGAAGTGAGCAGGGCCAATCGGCATTCCCTGGTAGGGTGGGAAAGAGCTGAAGAAGGACAGTTAGAAAAAACAGCTTTTAGAAAGTGTATGGAAGCCAAACAAAACTCATAAAGCAGCCCATCGAGATAGCATACTCCTGGAATCTAGTATATGAGAAGCTGAGGCAGGAGGATCTGGAGTTTGAGGTCAGCCTGGGCTACATAAAGAGTACTACAGTAGCTTGGGCTACAAAGCAGAGAAACAAGGCTGAGGATGAAGCTCATTGGTAGAATATTTGGCCTGCATACATCAGACCCTTCTGATCCCTATTGCTGTGTAAAGTGGGTATGGTGCTATGCACCCGTAATCCCAAGCCTTGGAGGTAGAGGCAGGAGGATCAGAAATTCAACATCATCCTTGACTAAACATCGAATTTGAGTGCAAGGCCAGCCTTAGATACGTGAGACTCTGTCTCAAAACAAACAAATCAGATACACACAGAAAAGAAAATATTTTATGAAAGAGAGATTCAAGTTTCAGCTCAAACACAATCCAGGTAGGAAAGGAAAGGTGGTATCTGTTTAGAGAGCTGAGGCACCTCCTACCCTAGCCAACAAATAGTCCTCTGAGTCAAAGTGGCATCTTGTTCCAAATGGGATTTCAAACTTCTTTATTATGAAAATTTTTCAAACATACACAATATATATGAAATATCATATGATAAACCCTAGTGTCTATCTCCAGCTTCAACAATTACCATTATATTGCCAGCATGTTTCATCTGTATCTCTAAATGAGGTTTTTCAGTCTTCGATTTGAACTCTCTAAGCATCAATTAGTCTGTTAGATGCTAAGCCTGTCTGCAAGAAGAATCTGATACATTTTCAGGACCCTCACCCCCTCACTCCCATCTTAGCACTTAGACTCAGTTCTTTGTAGGGGCAATGAAACAATGGGGTCTTGCTATATATCTCAGACTACCCTCAAACTTGCGATGACCTTCCTGCCTTAGCCTCCCAAGTACTAGGATTATGCATGAGCTACTGCATAGACCTCATTCTTGATAAAGACCATGTCCTAAAAAAGTGATTAAAAATACTAGTCACAGCCAGGCATGGTGGCACACGTCTTTAATCCTAGCACTCAGGAAACAGAGGAAGGGGGAATCTCTATGAGTTCAAGGCCAACCAGGTCTACAAAGTGAGTCCTGTCTCAAAAGAAAAAAGCTTCATTGATAAATTAATAATATAAAAATAGGGTAATTACAAAACTATATTATAGTAAAAGTTATGAGTTGTTTATTTCTTGAATTTTCTATTTTGGACTGAGGTTGTCTATGGGTAACTGAAACCAGGGAAAGTAAAACCCAGGATGAGAGAGGAATACTCAATATGAATTTGCCAGGTATGAAACAGAAGTGAGAAACAACAGCCTAGCTCATCCCTACACCTACTTTAAGAAGCCACCAAGCTGCCTGCCCCCTCCCAGTCATTGATTCTATGGTTTCTTCTCCACCCTCTCCTCCTGGGGTTTCAGGTGGTACAGCGGACACACTATCATGGAATGAAATGCCTCTTCCGAATCAGCTTCTTTCCCAAAGACCCCGTGGAGCTGCTGCGTCGGGATCCTGCTGCTTTCGAGTACCTATACATCCAGGTAGAGTCTGGCTTGGGGACACAAAGATAGAGCAGTGAACAAACAAGCAGGCAGGCTCTTCTGCCATCACAATGAAGTTGCCATGTAAGGTCAACCTTCAGCTTGCTCTGAAGGCCTTTTCCTTTCTTGCTACTATTGTAGACCATTGTCAAGTTGGCCAGTCTGGTGACTTGAATTTGATTGTCAAGGTGCTGTCTACTTGTCCGCTCAGATCCCATCAGTTTTCAGAAACATGCAGTCCCAGGAACTCTGGTGCTTTCACAGAATCCCAAGGTTTAACAAGCTCTTTTGCATTCCATGAACTCTCAACCCCCAATCCCTAAGTTCAGTAAGGAGATGGTGCTGACCTCACTGCATCCAGAAATATTTATTGAGCCCATATCCCGGGTCAAGTCCTATGCTGGGTCCTGACAATCAGAGGGGCAGAAAGGATACACTTTCCTCACTAGAGTTCCTATGTTCATAACTATAACTACAACAGGGTTCAATGTCAATATGAGACCTAGGAAGCAGTCTGCCAGCCCTACAGGAGAGAAAGACAGTGAAGGCTTCACAGAGGGAAAGATATTTGTATACTCTTAGCTGTAAATAATGAGTGGATGTTTGCTACGTAGAAAGATGGAAAAGAGGGGTTGTAGTCCAAGCAAGAGCCCTTGCATTTTCAAAGGCATGCTGACGAGAAAAAAACAGAAGTGATTTATTGCAGCTTCAGTACAGGATGTAATGTAAGAAGCAATAGAAAATGAAATTGGAGAGCTGGGAACCAGGGAGTGAATGCTTGGTAGGCCACAGAGAGCAGACTTTATTCTGGAAGCTGGGAAGTGCTTCTCAGAATGTGGGCCCTGAACCAACAGCATCATCAACTGGAAATTTGTTAAAGATGTAAATTCTTGGGCCTTATCCCAATGATCTGTTTGAACAGGCTCAATGAGATTAAAGCAAAACAAAGCAAAACAGGGTCTCGCGTGACCCAGGCTGACCCCAAATGAACTATATATCTTTTTTTTTTTTTTTTTTTTTTTTTTTTTGGTTTTTTCGAGACAGGGTTTCTCTGTGTAGCTTTGCGCCTTTCCTGGATCTAGCTCTGTAGACCAGGCTGGCCTCGAACTCACAGAGATCCGCCTGCCTCTGCCTCCCGAGTGCTGGGATTAAAGGCGTGCGCCACCACCGCCCGGCAAACTATATATCTTAAGGATAACTTTGAGCCTCTGATACTCCTGCCACCACCTTCCAGGTGCTGGGTTTACAGGCAGGCATCACCATGTCCAGTTCTCTGTGAGAGTTTAATACCCCCTCCCCATGCCCAAAGCTCTTGAGACACTGGAACCACTTCAGAACAATGGTTCCTTAACCCTACCTGAACATTGGGATTATCTGGGAGGGGGCTGAAAAGATGGCTCAGTGGTTCTTCAAGAAAGCCTGGGTTCAATTCCTAGTACTCATATAGGTTCGTAACCATCTGTTACACCAGTTCCAGGGGATCCAAAGCCTAGGCACATTTATGATATACAGACAATTATGCAGGCAAACACACATACACATAAAATAATTTTTAAAAATGAATTACCACCAGAGGTGGTTGTGCACACCTTTAATCCCAGCACTCAGGAGGCAGAGCCAGGTGGATCTCTATGAGTTCAAGGCCAGCCTGGTCTACAGAGTGAGATCCAGGACAGGCACCAAAACTACACGGAGAAACCCTGTCTTGAAAAACCAAAAAAAAAAAAAAGAATTACCTAGGAAAAAATATATTCTGTCCCACCCCAAATCTAGGAGTGGAGCCCAAACATTGGCATTATTTAATTATCTCAACTTATTCTAATAAGCATCTCAACTCATTCTAATGAGCAGTCAAGGTAAAGAAATTCTGCTGAGGAGTGGGTAAGAGTGCTAAAAGGAGTCACCTGGTCATTATCCAGAGAAAAAGTGATGTCCACAATCAGGACTGTGAACAATGGGGTATTTGGAGTGGGATTCTGGGGAGATGTAAAGGCTTTGATTTGCTGAGTGTTGGTAGAGATGGTAGCAGTCCTCACGTTAGCAAATAAAGGCAGTGCCATGAGCTTGGAGACAGGCTAAGTTCATTTTAGGCCATGTTGGGCTTTAGGTGCCCACAGGACATATGCAGCACTTGATGAGGAAAAAAAACAAACTTATCTGTCTCCCAGGCTGTCACTTGGGACTGCAATGAGAGCCACCGCAGTTGTCCTTTCTGCCCTTTCTGTCAACCTAAAATGTTAAGAACATTTCTCAGCCTCAAGTTCCTTTGCCAAACCTCTAGGGGCACAATGGGTTGTGCGGTTTAGTTTAGTTCTCATTTTGTTTGTCCTGAGTTTCTTCACTCAAACTTCCAGGGATTGCCTTGGTTCTCATTCTTTGGAATTTGATGATAAGATCGTGCCCAGCACGATATTTATGATAATATGGACTTCATCTGGATTTTCCCTTTTTAAAAAAAATTCAGTTTTTTTAACCAAGGTCTAATTGGCACATAACAAACTGCACATGTTCAAAGTGAACACTGTGATAAATTGTCATCCACAGCCATCACCACAATCAAAATATTGAACATATCCAATGTCATTGACATTCATTCCTCAGGCTCCTGTGTAACTCATCCTCCAGGCACCCTCTGACTGACTTTCTGTCACTATAGATTTGTTTTCATTTCCAAGAGTTTATGTAAATTAAACCATACAATATGTATACTTATTTTGAACTGGCTGATTTTCTTCAGTTTTTTTTTTTCTGGGGGTGGGGGTGGTTTGGTTTGATTATTTTAAGACAGGGTTTCTCTGTGTAGCACTGGCTGTCCTGAAACTCACTTTGTAGACCAGGCTGGCCTTGAACTCACAGAGATCCTCCTGCCTCTGACTCTCGGGTGCTGGGATTAAAGGCCTGTGCATCACCACCATTCAGTCATTTTTCTTGTTGAGTATTATTCATCATGGTATCAGAATTTGTTACACATGTTGATGGACATTTGAGGTATTTCCAGATTTGTGCAATTACAAATGAAGCTTCTATGAGTGTTCATGTCCGAGTCTTTGCATAGATGTGTGCTTGCTTTGCTATTGGGTAAATAGCTAATAAAATAATGGTTTGATTAGTTTTCTAAAAGAAATTCTAACGCTATTTTCCAGAGTGGTTGTACCATCTAACATTCCTATCCATTACGTATTACAGTTCTAGCTTCTCCAGTCTTGTCAACTCTTGGTATAGTCAGTCTTTTTTTTTCACTCTAATATTGTATAGCAGTATCTCTTCAAGGTTTCCATTTGCATTTTCCTAGTAACTAGTGGTGTTGGATAATTTTTAATGTGTTCACTGTTGTGCATCTTCTGTGATGAAATATCTATCCAAATCATTTTCCTGCCTTTTTATTGGGTTATTTGTTTTCTTATTATCAAGTTTTGAGAGTTCTTTATGTATTCTGGAAACAGTCATTTGTTGGATATGTTATTTGCAATTATTTCCTCCCAGTCCGTGTCTGGCCTTTTTGGTCTCTAAACAGTGTCTTTCATAGAGCAGATGTTTGAATTTTGATGAAGTCCGGTTTGTTAATCTTTTCTTTTAAAGATAGCTTTTCTGGTATCATATCGTGTGTGTGTGTGTGTGTGTGTGTGTGTGTGTGTGTGTGTGTGTGTGTATCCATCTATCCAGTGTATTGTGTATTCATGGATGTGGATGTGTGTATTCATGTATGTGTATGTGTGTGTATGTTGGCATATAGATATAGATACACAGTTGTTGAAGCTCCACTCATTGAAAAGCCTATCCTTTCCTCTCTGAATTGCCTTCATACTTTTATTAAAAAGCAGTCTGTGTAAGTAATAAAACATCTAGATATAGTGGGAAAGCAGTTGTCTGTGTATCTGTAGATCTCTTTCTGAACCTCTATTCCATTCTATTGATCTACCTGTCTATCACTATGCCAACCACACACTCTATTGATAACTAGGGCTTTCTAATAAGTCTTAAAATCAAATAGTATTTGTCCCCATCTTTGTTCTTCTTTTGAAAAATTGTCATTTATTCTAGGCCCTCTGCATTTTTCATGGGGATTATAGAATCAGCCTGTCGATTTCTCTTAAAAATCCTACTGTGATTTGGATTGGAATTGTGTGGAATCTGTAGATTGATTAAGGAAGAATTGATATGTTAACAATACTGAGTCTTCCAGTCCATGAACAAAATATTTCTACATTGACTGAGGTCTTTGATTTTCCTCAGCAGTGTTTTATAAGTTTTGATATAATGATTTTTTTCACATATTTTGATAGATTTATCCCCAATTATTTCTTATTTTGATGCCATAATAAATGATTTTTATTTTTGTTGTTGTTGCTGCTGCGGCTGTTGTTTTTAAGACATAGTCTAATTCTATAACTCAGGCTAGTCTGGAACTGTGTAGCCCAGGCTAGTATTGAAGTATGGAGCCATCTTCCTACTTCAGCCTCCCAAGTCCTGGGATTATAGACATGAGCCTTGACACCCAGCAACGATTTAGATTTGTAATTCAATTTCCAATTGTTTGTTGGTAGCTTATAGACATACATTTTTAGAGTGATTTTTATGCCTTCTAACTTTGCTGTACTCAGCAAATAGTTTTAGAGGGTTTTTGTAGAGTCTACTGGATTTTCTGTATAGATAAACAATAAGTGTTTATTTTCTTCTCACTCATCCCCCTTTTGATACAGTCTTGATTTATAGACCAGGCCAGCCTAGAACTCACTGTGTAGCCCAAGCTGGTCTTCCAATTCTCATGCCTCAGCCTCCAAAGTGCTGGATTTATTTACAGTCATGAGCCACCACATTGGGCTGAAGTATCCTTTTCCTGTTCTTTTCCTTTGCTGTAGTGATACCACTGTGGCTCCCTAGTCCCAGGGTCCTTTGCATTACAACCTCAACCAAAGGACAGCTGTTCAAATGAAGGTGGAGTCATCGGTAGTGGGGGTGCTGACCTTTAGAGTTTGGAAGGTTATCTATTATACCCTTGACTAGCACCTATAAGGTATTCCCTCTAAGACAGCATAAGGAATATCGACCCATCAATGTTTTTGTCCTTTGGCTCTCAAGGAACAGAATGTCTGCTCCATCTCTGCAAACTGCTCCTCATCATGGGCTTCTGGACCAGAGCCCCACAGAGAGCCTCTCCCGGTGTCTTTCTCTCCTTGTACTCATCTGGACTATTACAAGAGCCTGGTATGGCTAGTGGTTGAGTACAGGAACCCCAAAGAGCAAGATGTCTCTTCGAACAGGAGAAAGAAAGGGAACGAGCCAGTTCTCACCTGCACAGCAACCCGGGCTTTTCTACCCATTGTGTCATGCTATTATGTGACCTGCCTCTGAGAAGAGTGTCGAATATTTGCTGAACCAAGCACATAGTGTCTCTGTGACCTAAGGCTCCCCTGTTGGCTCTTCCCCAAGGGCAGCAGCCCTCTCTTTCACTTGCTCCATCATGTCTTGCTGGTGGCATGATTCTTTTCTGGGACCCAGGGGGAAAGCCAGGGAAGCAGAGAGGGAAGCGGTGTCTCCTTTAACTGATGGATTTGGTCTGCCCTCTCTCACAGAGTCGTAATGATGTGATCCGAGAACGCTTTGGAATGGACCCCAAGCCAGAGATGCTTTTGGACCTTGCTGCCCTCCACATCTATATCACTGTCTCAGCCACTCGGCCTAGTCAGAAGATCACACTCAAGAATGTGGAGTGAGTTGTGAAAGGGCCCTACTGGAGGGGACAAATAGCTGTCTATGAGAAGGTTCAATTGTTGAGCTGTGCTCTGCTGTTCAAGGTCATAGCCATTCTATAGGGGTAAGAATTTGAATTCCTGATACCTAGCCTACCATGCTTTAGAGCTATAGTTTCTACTGGGTACTCATGGTCACAGCTTGCCGGTCCTTATCCTTCTTTCTCTTTCCTAGTCTCTGTTTCTCCATCTCTGCTTCTCAGAGTTACTCAGATTCTTTCTTGCCATCTCTCCCTCCCTTGATCCCATTTTGCCTCTCTCACTAATCTCTTGCTTTTCTTCTGATTTTAGGAAGGAATGGGGCCTGGAACCCTTTCTTCCCCCCTCCCTCCTGCAGGGCATCAAAGAGAAGAACCTTCGGAAATCTCTCTCTCAACAACTGAAGGCCCACCAAATGCATCCTTCTAGCAGCACCAAGGTACCCAGAGGAAACCATTGGGCACCATGTTTAAACACTAGAGGCCTCCTAAGGGTCCTGGGTGGTACTCTGGGGATTTCTACCACTCTTTCTGACTCAAGTGCACAATCTGCCACTCTTTCTTGGGTGCACATTCCATCATTCTTTTTGACTAGGGTACACATCTGGCTTGGCCAGGTGTGAGGCATTTACGGAAAGGAGTTTGCTCAAAACCCAAACTTTGTCCAAATAGGCTTAGCAACACATCACTGCAAGCCACTGTGTCCTTAAAAAGAAAGGAGCAATAAGGAAGGTCATTCTTGGGGTCTTTCACCAATTAGTACTGATGGTGCACCTGTCCTGTGGAAGGCATTGGCCCCTGAGAGAGGCACGTATTTTCCATGAGAGTGACTGCTCTGTCCCTCACTAGCTTCCTAATCCATCAGTCCTAAACTAGGGAATCTTAGGAGATGAAAGCCTGACACAGAGCTGGGGCCACTGCTGGGCTGTCTTCTGAATTCTAGGAGACACCAGTCTTTGCCTCTGAAAGGCTTCTTTCCCACCTCCCCAGGCCCTGCTGGGCCTTCTTAGGCTGCTAAGACGCCATCTGCTTGTGCTTCCTGCCCAAGAGGCTGGAGGATGGTGACAAATACTAGAATCAGCATGCAGATGTAGACAGGAGACACAATCACCCCCATATATGCCACCCATTCCAGATTTCTTGAATTACCAACTAGCTTCCCTTTTAAGATGCAAATTTCCCCAGAGAGCTAAGCCATTCCCACCTTACTGTGCATGTTTAATCAGATTGTTTTCTTTTTTTTTTTTCTTGGCTGAGAGCACCAGTGCTCACCACCATCTCCACAGCAAAGATTTTTTTTCTTCATAGAAAAAAAGAAAGAAAGCCTGGCTTTAGCCCTTGAGTCAGGCATAGTCAAGTAGGAAAATAAAACCATAATTCCCACCACAAAGCAGCAGGCACTGGTATTCTGCAAGTGTTCAGGAGAAACGGATGCCAAGCCCAGGCTAGGAGAAGAAGAACTGGCATATTTAGTGCCAGGGCTGAGACTTGAAAGATAGACAGATAGGAACTTGTCTAGATGAATGGCTAGAAGCAGTACTAAGAGGAAGACTTTTCTCCTCCAGGAGATCCACCTCTACAGAAGCCGGCCATGGGAGTCATGGTAGCTGGGAAAGAAATAAATGGTTCAGCCTATGCAAAGCTACAGAATATAAGAGACAGGAAGCTGGTGGAGGAAGAGACAGGAGGGAGACTAGGGAGGTTGGCAGGAGCCAGTTCTTGGAGGGCTTTCTGTGCCATAGAAAGGGGTTACACACAATCCTGTAGGCAGCAGGGAGCCATGGAGGAGCTGAAGCAGGAAACTGATGTGATTCACTTTACTATGTTTTAGGATTTTCCCACTAACACTAGGTGGGGGTAACTGAGAGAAAGAAGCTGAGTTCCCAAAGCCCTGACATAGGAAGAAATGTCAAAGCAGTGGTAGAGGGCAAAAAAAATAGGTAGATCCATTCAAGATGAAATCGGGGGGGCGGGGGGAGTAAAATAAATATGATTTGGTGACTGATGGCCCTCAGATGAGAGTATTGATGTTCCGCAGATCAGAGTATGAAGGGAGAGTCCTGTGTCCCTCACAGGTTTCTAGCTCAGTTGCCCCAGCCATGCTGACAGAGACCTGGAAGCCCAGAGGAAGAACAGGCTTGGGACTTGGGAGTACTCAGTATGAAGGCAACAAGTGGGACCCCATGATTGGCAGTGTCAATGAGACTAAGGTTCTGAAGGATCTTAGGAGAGATGCATCGATTGGGTGATGTCAGAGTTGGGGCAAAGTGCTTGAATTAATGCAAGAACAAACAGATTCAACTGATACTTTAGGTGCTGGGATCAAGAGGTCTGAGGAGTGCTTAGAAAGGTAGGTGGAATGCTGAAGGTGAGAGCCATCCAAACTGGAACTTCCTTCCGACTTTACCCAGGCCCTTCTCATTTCCACAGAGTAGGCTGATGACTAGCACCTGCCATAAGAGGTGTTTGAGGATGTGGGCTTGTTTTTCTGTGCTCCTCTGGATTCTTATTTCAAGGTGGGTTGTTTCCACAGGGCTCCGCAATTCAAGCAAAGCTCCAGTACCTTCGAATTCTGAATGAACTTCCGACCTTCACTGGTGTTTTATTCAACACTGTAGGCCTGGTCAGTGGGACTATGGGGGAGGGGCAAGGTGTGGGGCCAGGGGGAGGGAACCAGCCCTTTGTTGGAGGGACAAAATCGGTTAGCTCTCATATTCAAAGCATCCACTGCATCCACGGATCCAACCAACTGCAGATCAAAAATAGTCCAAGAAAAAATGTATTGGTACTGAGCATGTATAGACATTTTTCTTGTCATTATTATCTAGACATAACAGTATAACAACTATGTACACAATATTTGCACTGTGTTAGGTATTGTAAGTATTTTTGAGAGGGTTTAAAGCATACAGTAGGGTCAGATGTGATATTGCATGCTTGTAATCCCAGCATTCTAGAGACTGAAGAACAAGGATCATGAGTTCAAGATTGAGGCCATTCTTACATATATAAGACCCTTTCTGAAAAGTACACAAGAATATATGTGCAAATGATATGCAAATGCTATGCCATTTTATATAGGAACTAAGCACCCATGGATTTTGGTATCTACAACAGAGTCCTGAAACCAATTCCCTATAGATAATGAGGTCCAACTACATCTGCTTTCAACGCCCCTTATCAGTCCTTCTGTGCCCCCTTCCTATATTCCAGGGCTTGACAACCCTTGTCTGTAAAGAGCCAGATAGAGAATATGCTTGCCTTTTGTTGGTGGATCAAATGGATCTCTGTAGCAGCCAGTCAGTCCTGCTGTCTTAGCGTGAAAACAACTACAATGTATTAACAAATGGGGCTTACACTGTGCCAATAACTATTTAGAGACACAGAAATTTGAATTTCACAGAATTTTCATGTGACAAAAATATGGTTCTTTTGACTTCTTTCCAACCTTTTAAAAATGTTTTAAAATTTTATTTTTAACCATTGAGGCATATGAAACAGGTGATGGGCCATATTTGGCCAACCCCTACTCTATTTGTTTGCCTTTACATATACATACTCCCATAGTCCCCTAGCCCAGTTTTCCTGAGTCTCCACACTGCCCCCTGCCTACCCAGAACCTGCACTGCACAGTGATGCTCTGGGGCAGGGCTCAGCTGGCACCATCTCTAAGACTACTCCAGTCTAGTTGACTTTGGTAAAAAGAAATTCAAATCATCTTACTGATTGGCTCCAGGTGCTTGTCATGCTCTGTGGAACACACTGTCGTGCTAGCATGGCACACTGGAGACAATTGGCTTATCAAAGTGCCTGTAGGCAGACTTAAGAGGTTCCCGGGGTGATGTTAATAGCAGGGAGTGGGCCAGCAGAAGGCTCCGCTTTGATGATAGCTTCAAGGAGTTTGTCAGCCCCATTTAAGGGAATCCAGTCTGTCAGACCTAGAAGCAGCCATTTGTACGCTGGGATTTGTAGAACACTGAAAGGTCCCTGGCCCCTCCCTTCACCCACACATACCCTCAAATCTCCCTTCCACCACCCTGACATTGCTCAAACGCCTATTGGTCATTGCTTTGAGTCAAGGCTGCTGGAGTACCTATTAAAGGGTAAATCTAGGGAGCCCTTCATTAAGCACCTAAACAACCATGAATGCCTTAGGCAAAGTTATGTTTTCACTTTGGCTTTGGCACTGGGTGAGAAGTGCGAGTTGGTGGAGGGTGGGTAAAAGCCAGACATAATGCTGCCTAGTCAGGCAAAAGCACCGAGTAAGAGCTTTGGATGGCTTTCAAGCAATTGTGAAAAGTACCTCGGGGCTCGATAAGGGGAAGTTCTCCAAAAGCACCAGAAAGAACATACTTCACCTACCTCGGGATTTTGTTAGAGCCAGCCCTGATGCTGCTCACTTAACTTACTGCTGTAGCTAAGGTGTGATTTAGGCTGAGGATCTAGGATCCTGTACCAGGGAGGTTCCAGACTATTTTCCCATCGAGGTTGCCTTTTTAACACTGGCACTGAGCCTCGGGTATTTCTCCTCCCTTCCCCCACCCCTTACACACCCCAGCAGAACCAACATAATACATATTTTCTCTTCCTCATTGCCTCTTCTCCCTGGACCTTCTCTCCACTCTGTCTGTGAATGTTGTCTGCCTGGCACACTTGGGCACTAGGACGAGAAGCAGTCAGCCACCACTCTCCTGGTGGGACCCCGTCACGGCATCAGCCATGTTATTGACCTCAAAACCAACCTCACCACTGTGCTGTCCGAGTTCAGCAAGATCAGCAAGATCCAGCTGTTCCGGGAGAACCAAGGCGTGGCCCGAGTGGAGACCAGCATCATGGATGCCAAGGTGAGCCCTGCTTTGGGATGCTGCTTCTTTCCAGGAACAGCCCTCAGGGACAAGGAAAGAGAGTTGGAGCATGTGAAGGGAGGCTCAGAGATTCTGAAGTGGCTTCTCCACAGAACTCTGTCTTCATCTTTCCCTCCTCCATCTTCGAGGTCTTAGACCACCTAAGATGGTTGTCAGCATGCCTTAGTTATTGTTCCATTGCTCTCATTAAGATAGCATGACCAAGAAAACTTGTAAAAGAACGCATTTACTTGTCACTTACAGTTGCAGAGGGTTAGAGTCCGTGAGCATCATGGCATGGAGCAGGGCAGCAGACAGGCAGTAAGCATAGCACTGGCCCAGTAGCTGAGCACTCACATCTTGAGTCACAAATACAAGGCAGAGAAAGCTAACTGGGAATGGTGTGGGTTTTTGAAACTTCAAAATCCACCCCTAGTGACACACCTCCTCCAAGAAGGCCATACCTTCTAATCCTTCCCAAACAGCACTATCAATCGGAGATGTCCCAGTATTTAAACATATGCACCTACAGGGACCATTCCCATTCAAACTACCACACAGTACTATGTAGGGCTAGAAAGTGTTGGGTCAATCTGAGTCAGTTCTCCACAGAGAGCTGGAGAACCAGGAGCTACCCAAGCCATCATTCTACAATTCTTCTTGTCATAGCACAAACAGAAATTTGAATTTATGGATATCTTGGTGGCTTATAATTCCAGTATTCAGAAAGCTGAGGCAGGAGCATTACTGCCTATATGGTGATTACAAGTCGAGCCTAGGCTACATAGCTAGCTCCTGTCTCGAATGTTAAAAAAAAAAAGGAAGAATATAAAATTCATATAGCTGGGTATGGTATTACATACCTGTCTGTATTCAGAGCCACTTGGTAGGCTGAGAGGAAAATTAAATTTCACAGCATGCTTTGGCTAAATAGGGAGGGAATCCTTGTCTCAAAATATTTGTGTGTGTTCAGTGTGTACAGGTGTATATGCTCATGCAAGTGGAGTCCAGAGGTGTCTTCCTCAGTTGCTCTGTATCTTACTTTTTTAGACAGGACCAAGGCCTATTTGGCTGGACTGGCTGGCCAGCAAGGCCCAGACATCCTCTTGTCATCTCCTTCTCAACACTTGCATTGAAGGTGCATTGCTCCCACACCCTCTTTGTTTACATGGATGCTAGGGGTGGTACTCAGGTCCTCATGCTTGCACTTTGCTAACTCAGCCATCTTCCCAACCCCACCAAAAAGTGCTTATGGCTGGTGAGGAAGCTCAGTAATAGAGCACTTGACTAGCATAGGAAAGACCCTAAATTCCATCCCTAGCACTGTAAAATGTAAAAAAAAAAATCACACTCACATGGAATGTCAAGATAAATGTCTGCCTCAGAGATTAAAGAAGTGTATGCCTTAACCTATCTCTGCCCATCCCACATGTGTATTGGTTGGGGAGCACCCACTCTGAGCTACATAAGAGGTATGTCTGTACATGGACCCAGTGGTTCTAGGGAGTGGATGAACAGTCAGAGCCAACATTCCATCTCATCTCCCAAAGTCCAGCTAGAACCTCAGAACCTTCCCCATGGATCAACACCTTCAGACTGGCAAGCAGCTGTCACAGAAGTCTGGCAGCAATGGTCAGCCACCCCCTCCACAGTTCTCCTGTTGGACTACAGTGACCAGTGTGGGCAGGGGGCAGGCCTTCCTGCCAGCTGGCAGAGGTTCTCTGAGGGAGGTACAGCTTTCCCTTCTTAAAGGCTTTCCCACAAGGACATGCAGTTAACAGATTAAGCGGTGGAGTGTTTTGCTATTTCAAAAAGAACCAATTATTTATTTTTGTGTTTGTAAAACCCAGGAAGCTTTAATATGTTAATTTTTCCACCTGTGAGACACAGGATTCCCATTGGTTTGGGAATCTGCCTGGTGCTGATGTTTAATTGGGTTGTGACTACTTTCTCAACCATTTGGTTGCTCCTCTCTTCAGAAGTTGTTGGGTACAAAGCCAAATGAACTGGTAAGGAAAGGGGAGGAAAGACAAGACATGCAGGGGAAGTGTGGCTCACAGAGATATAGAAGGGGTTTAAAACAGAGAAACAACTTTCAGATTTTTTTTTCAGCCTTCAATATTTCATGAATAGGTTTGCACATCAGTAGCACAATATAAATTCCATGACAGGTTTTAAAAAATAAAGACACCTGGGCCCTACTCTGAAAACTGATGTCCTCCTTTTTTTGGAGACAGGGTTTCTCTGTGTAGCCCTGGCTGTCCTGGAACTCACTCTATAGACCAGACTGGCCTTGAACTCACGGAGATCTGCTTACTTCTTGCCTCCCAAGTGATGGGATTAAAGGTGTGCACTATTACCTGGCTAAAACTGATGATTTCAATGGTTAGAAGTACTACCTGGGCATCAATATTTATTTAATTTTTTTATTTTCTCCAAATGACTTTGTAATACAATGAATTAGAGTGAGCATAGGTTGAAGACCTACCTATATGACCAGAGGTCTGTGAGGAAAGAGGCTGACCTGGGTTCAGTATTTGTCTCCTGAGTGAGGAGCACCCTACTTATTTCTGGAAGTGATCCACCCACAGTGGTGAGCATGAATGAACATTTCAAAGAAACTACATTCTCATCAGGGTGGCTGGAATCACAAGCATACATGACCTACCTTGATACCGCACCAGAACACCTACATAACTCTGGAATCAGATGAGGTTCACCCTCTCGGGGAAGACACACACACACACACACACACACACACACACACACACACACACACAAATACAAAACTAAAATACATCTCTTTCTAAAAAAGCAGTATGAAGTAAATGTCATAGATAAATGTGGTATGGAATGTGGAATGAAAAGAACGAGAAGGAGTTAACCAGAACTAGCTTCCTCGAGAGGGTGTTTTGAGCTGGATCTTGAAGTGATAGGCATGAATTAGCAGAGAGGAGTGGGATGTGTTCAAAGGCAAGGAGCAAGCACGGAAATAAGTAAGCCATATGTGCAGGTCCATGAGCAGAGTCGCTTGGCTGGAGAGGAAAATAAGAGAGAAGAGATTGGAGATTAGGGGCGGGCAGAACAAGTCGGTTCAAAGCCTCCCAGGCCAGTTGGAGGAATTTAGATTCAATGTGGTTGATTAGTAGGAATGCACTGTAGGTCCTTGAGCAGAGGGGTACCAGAATGAAAGCTGATTTGGAGCAGCAAGAAAGAAGGGTGGAAGCAAGACAACTATGAAGTCAAGGAGCAGATGTGAAACACGTGATGTATGAAGATGGGCAGGGGTGACCCTCCTGTGTTGCACACAATGCATGTGTTTTCTTATTCTTACCCCTATTGCCCACTGCACATGTCCAATGTCCACTAAAGAACAGTGATAGGTGTAAAGAACTCCAGCAGATAACGAGTAGGTGGTGAGATGACACTACCTTTGGAGATAAATGCATTGTATTTGGTGTGTAGATGAGGCTTTTAAAGGTTGCATCTTAGGAGTAAGCTGTGACCAATAGTCAGGGAGATGATATGAGTGCTCAGAAGTGTAACCAAGTGATAAATGGTTCAGGTACACCCTATTAAGAGCAATTGACAAAATGCAAAAGAAAACTTCGGGAGAATTATCCACTCAGTGTCATAATTGTTATAGGCTGTAATAGGATTTACCATTACAATAGGTAGAATAATCCCCTCCTAAATATGTGTATTCCATAATCCCCAGAACCTGTGAATATGCTATGACAGAGAGGAATAAAAAGTAGAGATGCAATTAAGATTGCTAATCAACTGACCTTAGAATAGGGAGATTAGCATGAATTATTCAAGTGGGACTAATGCAGTCAATGGAGTCAGTCTGTGTGGAACAGAGAATCTGGAGGTGAAGTTCTCTAACTGTGTGATGAGAGGACTCAGCTCACCCTTGCTAGCCTTCATTAGGGAAGAGGCCAAGGACCAAGAGTGTGGGGACTTCCAGGATTAAGGAAGGCAAGGAAATAGATTCAACTATAGACCACGAAAAGTGACAGTCTTGCACTTGATTTTTAACCCAGTAAAACCTGTATCAGAACTCTGACCTCCAAGACTATATAGGAATAAGTGTGTATTATTTGAACTACTAAATTTGGAGTCATGTGTTATAATGACAATAAGAGATTAATGCCATGAGGTTTTTCAAATAACAAGTACTCATATATTACATTTTTTTCTTTTGCCTCCCTTTCCTTCCTTTATTTTACTTTTGAGACAGGGTCTCATGTATCTCAGGCTGGCTTTAAACTTTCTATATAGCTAAGATAATAAGATGACCATGAACTCATGATTTTCCTGCCTCTATCTCCCAAGCACTGTGATTAAAGGTATGTCTCACCATGCACAATTTATGTGCCACCACATGTAGGTTTTTTTTGGGGGGGTGTTGTTGTTTTTTACTCTTTGGAGGTCTGCCACCCAGCTCCCAAATAAATACATGGAGACTTATTCTTACTTATGAATGCCTGGCCTTAGCTTGGCTTGTTTCTAGCCAGCTTTTCTAACTTGAATTATCCCATTTCTCTTTAACTACATTTTGCCTCTGGGCTTTTTACCTTTCTTTAGTCTATATATCTTTCTTTCCTTCTTTCTTGGTGGCTGGCTGTGTGGCTGGGTGACTGGCCCCTGGCATCCTCTTCTCCTCCTTTTCTTGATCCTCACTCTTCTCTTCTCTAGATTTCTCCTCCTATTTATCCTCTCTGCATGCCATCCCTGCCTTCTTCTCTATCCTGCCTAGCTATTGGCTGTTCATCTCTTTATTTGACCAATCAGGTGTTTTAGACAAGCAAAGTAACACAGCTTTACAGAGTTAAACAAATGCAACATAAAAGAATGCAACACATCTTTGCATTGTTAACAAAGGCAGAAGAAATAAATGTAACATACCTTTACACACAGTTAAAATAGTATTTCACAACAACCACACCCAAGGCTTTGTAAATGGTAGGCAAGCTGTGAATGCACTCTACTAACTG